TATGTCATATGTATAAATATGAATAGGCTTAACTTGTCTGCCAAAAAGATTTTTCCCATTGGCTTGAAAAGTAAAATCCAATTTCATGCTGTATGGAATAAAACACAATGATTGAAAGGCTATAAATAAAGAACTGGACAGATTTGTCAAACAAATGGAAGCAATAAGAAAGCAAGGTATGATCCTGTTGCCAGAGAGTGGAATTCAGGCCAAAAGGCATTGAAACAAGGCGAAGGAGGACAATGTGTAATGATAACTGCTACAATTCACAATGAACAGGAAACAGTTAAAACCATCCATGCACTAAATAACATAGGACCTATCTATATAAAAAACTGAGACTACCGGACATGTAAGGAGATATAGAAACCCACTAATAATAGGAGACTTTGACACACTGCTCTTGGCATGAACAGGTCATGTGGGCAAAAATAAGAAAGGCTATAGAATTGTGCTTTCTAATATAGTGGCCACTAGCCACATGTGGCTCTTTAGTACTTGAAAAGTTGCTAATCTGAATTGAGATATGCTTTAAGCATTAAATACGCAGTGGATTTTGAAGACCGTATAAATAATGTAAAATATCTCCCAATAATTTTATATTAATTACATACTGAAATAATATTTTGGAGATATTGGATTAGATAAAATATTAAAATTAATTGCATGTGTTTCTTTTTACTTTAATATGGCTACTCAAAATTTAAAATTACATATATTGCTTGTATTGTATTTCTATTGGACAGTACTGCTATAGAAAATCTAAACAAAATCCATAAGGTAGATCTTATAAACATATATTAAATAAAAGATGTACAAGACTTCTACATTGAAAACTAATACAACAACTACTAAGAAAACAGTGAAAAAGACCTGAATAAATGGAGGATATACTATGTTCATTGATTGGGAGGACTGACGGGTATTTTGAAGATACCCGTTCTTTTTCAATTTTATGTGTATATTCAATGCAAACCCAAATCAATGCCCCAGCAGGATTTGGGGTGGAAATTAGCAAACTGATTCTGTCATTTATTTGGAAATGCAAATGGCCAATAATTGCCAAGGCGATCTGAAAGAACAAAGTTGAAAAATTTATAATACTACAAGATATCAAGATATATTTTAAAGCTATTGTATTTAAGACAATGTGCAAGAGTGACTTGATGAAACACAATAAAGAGACCAGGAACAGATTCAGATATATTCAGATCCTGATTTATGACAAAAGATACCTCAGTGCAGTAGGGAAAAGATAGTCTTGTCAAGTTAATAATACTGAGTCAATTAGAAATCAGTATGGGGAAAAAAAAACAACCCTGCTCTGTAACTCATTCCTTACACAAAAGCCAATTCTAGATAGATTACAGATCTAAATATAAAGGGTGACACTACTGGTTATATACCCAAAGGGATGGAAGTCATCATGTTGAAGGGATACCTACACTCACATGTTTATCACAGCTCTACTTACAATAGCCAGGATATGGAACCAACCTAAATGTCCATTGACAGACAATTGGATAAGGAAAATGTGGTGTGTGTA